GTGGGGTTGTTAACCAATGTCATAAAACAACATGTGTACTACTGTTTCATGGGAAACTATTTGTTCTGTAAGCCTTCACCTGAAGTACAATAAAATATAAAAATAAAAAAAAAAGAAAAAAAAAAAAGAATCAGCCTTGGGCTGATGCTGATGATTCTCTCCCCCTCCTTAAGTTAGATGAGGTTAGCCGTACCTGCCAGAGCAATTTTTTTACATCAACAGATGAAAATCAGGTGTTCCGAAAAGATAAATTAGGGGGCAAGTCCTAGATGTGACACTAGAGGTGATGATAGTTCCTGGAGTCCTTTCCTAGACACCTCGACATTTAGAAAGGTAACATATCTGAGTCATTCTACTGCTTGCATTATGGAGTTTCTATGTACTGTTGAGCATGTCACTTGATTTACAGTCTTCCACATCTGAATCTATGATATAATCAATAAGCAGCTATGTGTCATTGAGTCTTTACTGTGTCTTCTTTACAAAATACCAGTTATAGTAATAAGTGATGGAAATCAAACTACATTATTCTGAAATATCAATCCAATGTGAAATATTGGAGCCAAGTCTTTATCTAACATCACAAAAAAACTCGTTATAGAGATCTCAAAATCTGGACCCAGTTTACCCTATACGCCAATTATTCCTGTTTTTCAGTTCCTCTATTTCAGTTTAACCTAATTACTATGTATATAGGTAACTGCATATTCAAAGAATTAAAAAATAGGATTGACCACTTAAGCCATTTTATATTAAATTACTCAGGTATGGAAACTTTTTGATCGCAGCTCTCAATAATAAACCTTCCTAGTTATAAAAGATAATGGAAACTGAAAGCCAAATAAATAATCATAAAAACAGTAAGAGGTCTCAATAAGCAGTTGTTATACTTTGAAACATCCGATTTTTTTCCACTGTCTAATTTTAGAACATGTTCATCACCCCAGAAAGAAACCCCATACCCATTAGCTGTCACTCCTCATTCTCAACACCACCACCGGCATTGTTTTACTACCCAATAGCCCATATTGCTTAACGGTGGAGGACTGAAATGCTGCTAGCCAGAAGACAAACTCTCTGTAGGAAACCCACCTCCATTCTAACAATTAAGCAAAGCCTACATTGGCAAATCACTTTTCTCAATAACTTTATTCCCTATGTTTTCTTATTTAAAATATTGGTGTCTAATTAACCTTTACAGAGATAATATTAAAAAAAAACCCATAGAATAACATTACATAACTACAGCACTACTGTACCATCATCGATAGTCCCAACTTTGGTATCTCTTTTCTTAGTCTTCTTTTTTGCAGCTTTTTGAAAAGGTGCAAATTCTACGATAGCAGGATATTCTTGACCTGTTTAAAAAAAAAAACCACAAAACTTGCTATAACAAAGAAAATGTCAAAAGTGGATACAAGGAGTCAACCGACTGCTCTACAGGCCTCCTATGATGGCAGTAATCTGAAGAGGGTCTCCCAACGGGCATAAACAACACTGGCACAACTATACTCAACATGCTATCAAAGGAGTCCAAAATTCACACTGATAACATAGTGAAAATATATAGCACAGAAGGAAAATATTTATTTTCTCAACTCTTAAAACGTGACATTTTGATATATGAAATAAACTAATCTAAAAAATACATCAGAATGTCCAGAATAGGCAAATTGATAGAGACAGAAAGTAGATTAGTGGTTGCTTAGAGCTGGGGAGGGGGAGGGGGCAGTGGTGGTGGTGAGAATGAAGAGTGACAGCTAATGGGTATGGGGTTTCTTTTTGGGGTGATGAACATGTTCTAAAATTAGGTTGTAGTGATGGCTGTATAACTCTATGTGTATACTAAAAGCTACTGAACTGTATACTTTAAAAGGGTGAATTTTATGATATGTGAATTATATCTTAATAAAGCTGTTATTAAAAAAATACACCAGATCCCTGCCATAGGAAAATGTCACGCAAGAGATAAAATACTATCTTTAGATCATTGGTATGTAGACATAAGCCAGAATCATATAACCAGAAATGGCCAGGAGGCATCATAAAGCAGTCATGGAGAAAACATGGTTTTAGAAATGCTAATGAATGTTCAATCAGATTAGCTTAATTACTGTGACATACTTGAGGAGAAGGAATAGATAAACCAGGCCAAAGAAGAGAGAAACTGTGACATACAGGCTGAGAAAACAAGTAGGGCCAGACTATGGAGGACCCTAAAAACCTGGCTAAGGAGTTTGAACTTTTTTTTATTACTGTTATCTTAAAATCAGTATTTTTTAAAAGATTAATTTCATGGCAATATAACAGAATGAATTACATAAAAATGGAAAATCCTATAAGTTTAGAGGCAGTGGTTGTCCAAGCATTACGTGGACATAAACTGTAAAAGTGTTAATAAGTCTAGACGAACAAGACATTTAAAAATAATAAACTAAGGACTAATGGACCACAGCTACCAAGGCCTCCACCAGACTCAGTGCAGTACAGCTAGGTGGTGCCCCACTACCACCACTGACTGCTCTGACCGGGATCACAACAGGGGGTTCTGGACAGAGCTGGAGAAGGATGTAGAACAAAATTCTAACTCACAAAAAAAAGACCAGATTTACTGGCCTAAAGGAGACTGGAGAAACCCCAAGAGTATGGCCCCCAGACACCTTTTAGCTCAGTGGTGAAGTCACTTCCAAGGTTCACTGTTCAGCCGGGGAGTGGACAGCCCCATAAAATCAAATGGGACTAATGAGGCACAGCAGTCCAGGGACAAGGACTAGAAGCAGAAAGGGACAGGAAAGCTGGTGATAGGGAACCCAAGGTTGAGTAAGGATACGGTTGATGTGTTGTGAGGTTGTTAACCATTGTCATAGGGCAACATGTGTACTGTTTAATGAGAAACTCTTTTGTTCCGTAAACCTTCATCTAAGTTGAGAATAGCAGCACAACTGAAGAGCATAGTCAATGTCACTGAACTGTGCATGTAGAAACTTTTGAAATGGTGTATCTTTGGCTATGTATATTTTCACCAAAAAAAAAAAATAAAAGGTCGAGAAAGGAGAGGGTTGACATGTCGTGGGGTTATTAACCAATGTCATAAAACATTATGTGTACTACTGTTTCATGAGAAACTATTTGTTCTGTAAACCTTCACCTGAAGTACAATAAAAAATAAAAATAAAAAAAAATAAACTAACAAGATTCATCACTTGTTTAAATGTAGGGGATAAAAAAGGAGAAAAAGGTTAAACGCAACCCAGATTTCCAGGCTAAGCAATTAGGAAATCATTGCTATCTACTGGAATAAAAAAGTTGGAGTGGAGAAGTAGCTGGTGTGGGGGGAGGATTAATATAAGTTGGCCAATACACAGTGGCAATCTTTTAACTGGTATATTTCCTGGCGAAGATTTAATTTTTACCAACTTTGAAGGAATACTGAAAAAACAAAAGAAAATGACACACCATTCACCTGTGACTGCATAGCCAAAAGTGGCAAATGGCAGCTTCGGCATCTGACTAAATCTTGTGCAAGTAGCAGATAATAAATAAAAAGACAGTTAGGGCAGAAATTGTTCTTCCCTACAGACCAGACCCTCCTGGATGACAAAGGGGAGATCATCAGGTTCGTTGTTTTAATTACATACAACTGAGTGAAAATGTCAACCAGTATTCCACTGGCAACTACTGGCTTAAAGTATTTGAATTAAATAATTAAATAAATATTGGTCCTTGCAGCAAGATGAGAATATGTAAAACTTGCCGTACAAGTTTAAAGAGTTATTTATCAATATTGCTGCTGAAACTAGTAAATAATTAAAACAATGTATCATCTAATCCAGGGCAAAAAAATTGTCACACAAGAAAATGGCAGTGATTTCATCCAGTTGATCAAACCACAGAAAGAACAGGTTAATAAATACTAGAGGGCAAGTGACAAGTTACACATCTATTTATAAGACTGTGCTAAGCTTATCACATGGGTAAAAACTCCTTAAATGTTGCACATTTTATGACCCAGGATTTTAGAAAAGCTATGAAGGCACTGACTGTGATGCACACATTGTCTTAAACATACAAATGACAAAGAAACTCCCCTTCTAGTTTAGTTACAAGGACTCACCTTTATTGTCAAGGAATACATAACCATCAAAGCGATCCCTGAACAAAATAATGTCCTCTTGGTTTTTAAAGTTGATGTATGCTCTGGCATACATATGAGGATACAGACTGCAGAGAGGAAAGCAATTATGTAAATGCGCTTGCGGGAGTCTGGCTGAATTACAAGTACACATACATTAAATAAAGAGACGGGCTCAAAAATCAAAAGGAAAATATTGGTAGGATGCAAAGAATTGAAGAAATCTTTTTCTTTTACCTAGTATCATTAGAAAAAAACTCAAAATAATCATGCTCCGGCATAGGCTGAAGATGTTCCAGAAGCTGTTCCTTGGTCAAAGTGGGAGGTAATCTTCGAATTACCACCTTAAGAAATGAATAAGGAAAATCAAATTACTACAAATCAATTTCCTGTCATACCTGAAAGAATCACAGTTCCTAAAGAAAGCTGGGTTTTAAAAGACGAGATTACTTGTAAAAACCCAGGAGAAAATATTTTTCGACAGCCTAATGATCAGAAAGTGTCAAACCTAATAGTAACGCGGTTTGTAAAAACTCTTACAAACGAGAACTGCCTGGATTAAGGACCTCACGTTCTGCTCTTAACCAGCAGCCCCGTAATTTATTAGGTTTGCACAGCATTTTTTATCACCCATTTTTCAACAAATCTAGTGTTAGGAAATCAGTAGGCCAACCCTGATCTTCTGTGGGTGCCACAAACTCTTGATTTATTGATACCTCTTCTCTCCACATCCAGCACATCCTAAAACAAAATCCTTCCTCATTCAGTTTGCAAAATTCAAAACTCTTAACTTTAAGAGTATAAAAAATGCACCTATTACTCCCAAAATAGGATGCTCCCGATCCCCCCTACAAAGACCACTAATCTCCCCTACGCGCTTCCCCAACTCGCCTCCATTAATACTATCACAAACTACTCCCACCTCTGAGGTCCGCTTCACGATTTAGTTTAATTCTCCCCAATAAACCTTTTAATTTTCCATTCTCTTTACTGTCGCCCCATCCCCGATAATCATCTCACAGCTCTGACCTAAACCCTTCTCATCTGGGGAGCCCACCTTCCCTCACTCCCACCCCGGGGCTTGGCCGGGAGGGGGTTCCCTCATTTCAGGCGAGTGGGTGAGGTAGGGTGGTGCGATTTTCATTCAGACGAAGAGACAGAGGGAGAGACTGGGAGATGAAGAGGGGCAGCCCCATTCTCAACCATGCTCTGTGGGCGGCGGACCCGTCCCACCCTCTCGCGGGCCAACGGCCGACAGGCACCTTGCTCAGCGCCTCTTTTTTCTCCTTGTTGCGATCCTGTTTATCTTCCCCCTTGCCGCTTTCCCCTGAAGCCCCGCCGCCGCTGCCTGTAGCCCCCGGGGGCGTTAACAGGGTTACTCGCTTCTCCTTAGGCCTATGCTCCTTTTCCTCCTTCATGGCCACGGCTACGTTTCTCACAGCGGCAGCTGGGCCTAAACGCCGCTATGCGAGGCACCGACGAAGCCCGCCCAGCTACCTCAGAGCTCCGCCCCCCAACAAATGATCCTAGTTACAAGCCTGGTCTCCCTTTCGATTGGGCCGCGCCAGGATCTCGCGACACTTCAGAGCGCCCGGCTTTCCTCAGTAGAAAGGTTTTAACACCTGGTCCTTACTTCCCGCTCGCTGAATCTCCCCACCCCCAATCCCGTCGCGGCCCAGACTCCCTCGGGGCTCTCTCCTTCGCACACCATTAGCTACCCCGCCATCTTGACTAGAACTACTCGCTCGGGGACTACAGATCCCGGCATACAAAGCAGTTACCAACTTCTGGCTAGGAGTGCTGGGAGCATAGAATACTCAGGGTCCCAATTTGTAAGTAAATTGAACCCTCTAATCTTGAAAGCTCACTGTTTTTCAGGTCAAAATATAGGTTCTTGCAGGCCGTAATTCCTTTTATTTTCCTCAAATAAACTTGGTGTTTTCCAAATTTGACCTCATTAGGGGAACGATTTGTATTTTCTACTATTGATTCTAAAGTGTACTTCTAGAAGTTTTAGTTTTTTTTTTCCTTATATTGGTTAGTATTCATAGCTGATTCACATACTTAATAAACAAGCACAAGATGCTGATATTTAAATGATGTAATATGACTAAACTGAGATTTGTTTTCATCACCTTTTTTTTCTAAAAGTATTCTATCGTGGTATGCCCTGCAGGAAGGAAAAAAGTAAAACCCGACATGACTTAATTGGAGTCACCCTCCTCTCCACTTCGAAGAAGGCCAATTATACGTTATTCATAATAGTCCCAAACTGGGAAGAAAGAAAAGAGAGAAGGGGAAGAAGGAAGGACTCAAAAGAAACCCAAAAAGTCCTCATTATTTCACTGTACACTTCAAGGTCCTTCTTCCCAAGATGGGCAATATCATGTTTGGGACCACACCCTAGAAAAGCAGAAGAAAGATGTCTACACATGCATACATACAAGCCTTACTTTAAAAATTCATCTGTGGCCTTCATTGAGCAGGCTGCTTTCAATAAGTTCTATCGTCCCTTTTATATTAATTCACCTCACAAATAAAACTCCTTGTGGGTAGCATGTGGGACTGCCTGGCGTTCAACTCCACCTAGCTTAATGGGAATAATAAAACTAACACCTAATTTCAAGAGAAAAGCTATTTTCATTTACATGTTGTGTTCATTAGTCTTTTAAAATAATTCTTGACCCAGATTAGCGCTGAAATGACCCAAATCCTGAACAGACAGTTAGGAAAGGAGTTGGATAATTTGTAAAAAAAAAAAAAAGCAAATTTATTTCACATAAGTGCCTGCTGATTCTAATTTTACCTGTGAAGGAAAGCATAATATTTTATTTTATATATTAGCCAAGTTAAAGATATGTTTGAGAACTTTGGACTCCAACGTAAAAAGGAGACTTACATAGTATAATTATTTGAAATACTTTTCCATCAGTTAAGCATTATAACAAAAAGTGTTAACCAGCTATTTTCCATGTCTACTGATGACATAAAGCAGGAGGTAATAGAAAATATGAGTTAAGGAATTCAGTTTCATGGGAGATTAAGGTGAATTTCTCAATTATACAAAAGTTTCTCATCTGAAATGGGTTACTGAGCTTTGGAGGGATTACATTAAATTCTGAGTGAGAATATCACGCTTATGTAAATTTGTAAGTAAATCAAATAAACTTAAAATAATCCTGGAAATGTATAACTTTCCCAGGGGAATGATTGCACAGGATATAAAAGTCAAACAAAAATTATAAATCAATCTTATTTCTCTAGTGTGAATTTACAAAGTTGCTATGTACTGAGACCAAAACCAAACCAAACCCTTTGCTGTTGAGTCAATTTTGACTCATAGTGACCCTATAGGACAGAGTAGAACTGCCCCATAGGGTTTCCAAGACTGTAATCTTTACCGAAGCAGACTACCACATCTTTCTCCCACAGAGCCGCTGGTGGGTTCAAACTGCTGACCTTTCGGTTAGCAGATGAGTGCTTTAACCACTGCCCCACCAGGGCTCCTTTATGTACCGAGAGTGAGATGAAATTTAGACAAAAGGAAACTTATGGACTTTCACAGTAACAGAAACAATCATGATAAAAGCTCGTTTTTACCCTCTGCTGGGCATTGGTGTTAACTCGTTTGGCCCTTGCACCAGCCTTTTGCGGGTACTATTGTTTGCCCAATTTTGCAGTTCCCTATTTTGCAACATAAATTAAGACAGATATGTTGGTGGTTCAAACCCAAAATTACATGGCTAGCAAATAATATGCTGATTCATGAGCCCAAATGACATCTCCAAGTCTAGCAGTTTAACATGCCCACACCCCACACACAGAACTAGAAAAAAATTCAGTTATCTTAAATATACTGGCAAATTCTCAGATGTAAAAGTAATGTTAATGAAATGCTGTTTATGTTATATTAAAAGCCAATTGCTATTGAGTCAGTTCCTACTCATGGTGACCCCATGTATGCAGAACAGAACTGTGCTTCATAGGGTTTTCAAAACTATGACCTCTCAGAAGCAAATTGCCAGGCCTTTCTTCCAAGGTGCCTCTAGGTGGGTTTGAATCGCCAACCTTTTGTTGGTAATCAAGTGCTTAATTGTTTATACCATCTCGACTGCTAACCAAAAGGTTGGCTGTTGGAACCCACTCAGTGGCACCATGGAAGAAAGGCCTGGTGATCTGCTTCCGTAAAGGTTACAGCCAAGAAAACCCTATGGAGCAGTTCTGTTGAACAATGGGGTCGCCATGAATCGGAATCGACTCAACAACAGTGGGTTTGGTTTTGGGGTTTATGTTGTATTACAAAAATATGAAGATACTCTTCATGTCAAATATTAAACAAGTACAGTAACACATTGCATGGATATAGAAGAGACGACAATTAGAGAGAGATATAATGAAACTCATAAAAATTCAGATTTGAGGAGACCGGGGCTATAAGACAAGCCCCCAAAGAAGAGGAAATACCAAAGAAGAACATTTAAGCCCCTCTTAACCTAAAATAGGAGCCCTGGTGGCACAGTAGTTAAGAGCTATGGCTGCTAACCAAAAGGTCGGCAGTTCGAATCCACCAGCCGCTTCTTGGAAACCGTATGGGGCAGTTCTGCTCTGTCCTATAGGGTCGCTATGAGTGGAATCAACTCGATGACAATGTTTTTTTTTTTTTAAACCTAAAATAAAACAAACAAACAAAAAAGTTAAGATCAGAAATATGTTTCTCCTTTAAGCATGGTAAACTTCTAAGCAGTATAGATTAAACGCTAAAGGGAAAAATGGTTCATAATGAATAATTTTCTAATTTTGAGCAGAGTAGTGTCCCAAAGATAAAAAAAAAAGTTTCCAATGTTAAAAGATCTCATAGGTCATATTTCCTTTTTATAGACATTAAAGATCCTTTGCCTTTTTGTTGTTTCAAATACTTTAAACCATTGTTTGGATAATCATATAATAATGAATAACGGTGAGTTTAAAAATGGAATCATTTAGATTCACCAGTTAAGAACAGGGTATTCAAACTATAAAAGCTTTATCTTGATGATGTTAAGACAAATAGTATTAAATTAGTCTTTTTTCTACAATTTTAAAAATTATTTGAATTTTTCCCCCTAAATCTTAAACTCAAAACAAAAGGTTTGTTTGCCTAATTAATTCCCCAAATCCTTCCACTACCCCTTGCCCTTATACTGCACTCAGTTTCACACATAAACAAAGGAGGGGATGACCCACTGACTTTTTATTGAAGATGAGGGTTTACTTCTCTTACAATCCCCATTTCCCCCAAACGCACACATAAAGGCAGAAAGTGACTGACAGGAGAAATGTAAAATAAAATTATTTGTCTATTCTCCAGTCTCAATTAAAAGAGAGAAATGGACAGGGAGTCTTGAACAGAGAGAAAACAGTATTTTGGACCTAAAAATATTCTACTCATTTATGAGCTTTGGTATAAATTGCTTTTCACTGTACTAATTAAAAAAAGCTGGAGATAGAGAATATTTATGACCCAGTGACAAGAAACCTTATTACCTGACTAATCATCCTAAAGGCAGGTTTCCAAGGAGGATTAAATTTGACTGTGCTTTGTTCTTATTGTAAGCTATGGGGGGTCCTCTTTATTGTGCTTCCCTGACATTCAGTATAAGGATATAAGCACTCTTGTCATGTTTTCCTTAAGAGTCTGCTTTACCTAGCATGTGTTATGGCTTGCATTAACTCCAATAGATTGTAAAACATGCTTTGGGAAATTCCATGAAGTCATAAACGATTGCAGAAAGTAATGCTAGCTCAGAAATTGTACCTGTTATTAATCACTTAAGTCATAGTACACTGTCAAGACACAAGTAAATAAAAATAGTACTAACAGGATTTATTCACAGTGCAAAGTCTTGTTCTTCCATATACTTTCCCTTACCCCATCCTTATTATTTAATTATATTTTTCATTAAATCACAATTCAGTGTTAACGTTATTACAACTATGTAAATGTTCATAGCTGAGACATGTAACATACGATTATTATGCTTCCTTTCTTGTACAACATTTTGTTTTTCCTGGAGTCCCCAGGTGGCGCAAATCGTTAAGCGCTAGGCTACTAGCCAAAAAGTTGAGGGTTCCAGTCCACCTAGAGGTGCCTTGGAAGAAAGCTCTGGCAATCTACTTCCAAAAGATCACAACCATTGAAAACCCTATGGAGTACAGTTCTACTCTGACACACATGAGGTCACCTTGAATCAGAATTGACTCGACAACAACTGGTTTTTAATAATTACCTTGATTATTTTGTTTGTTGGTTTGATTGATTTCCTTGTACCCATTACTATTTTTTCTCCAAACTCATCCAGAGATGTAAAACCTTACTTCATAAGGTCAAATGTGAGGCAGTGTATTAGTTTTATTTATTTATTTTTTTTGAGACATTTCTCCTCGTGTCCTCTGCCTTCATCCTCCTATAAGGATTGGTTGGTCTTTAGGCCTGCTACAAGAGCTATGGTGTGCTATGGCTGCTAACCAAAAGGTCAGCAATTCG